GAAGTGTTCAGGGCTGTACTCTCTGCTTAGATTCAGCCAAATACTGTAAAACTGATTGGACAGAGCTTCACAGAATGGATGAATAATGACCCAAACAAACATTGATCTGAGGCCCAGGAGGCATCCTTGTCAGATGCCCGAACCACCTCAACTGGCTCCTTTTGATGTGGAGGAGTATCACCTCTACTCTGAGCCCCTCCTGGATGGTTGAACTCCTCATCCTATCTCTAAGGGAGAAGCCAGCCACCCTTCAGGGGAAGCTCATTTCTGGCACTTGTATCCAAAGTCTTGTTCTTTCGGTCACTGCCCACAGCTTGTGACCATAGGTGATGGTAGGGATGTAGACTGACCGGTAAAGAGCTTCACTTTTACACCCAGCTCTCTCTTCACCACAACAGACTTGTACAACTTCCACATCACTGCAAACAAATAAAGGAACCCAAGAGTTTCTCACAACAGAGACACCCACAAACAAGCAACAACCAGTGGTGGCTGCAGCAAAGAGCATCTGAAGTCCATGGGTTCTAGACTTCAGACAGTCACTGAACACAAAGGATTTCAACCAAGTATATAAAAAAAACGCTTCTTACATTTAAAATTATGTTAGTTTAGCCATTTCTTTTTAAGAAAATGGGGGATTGTGTAGAAAAATGTCTGTAAATCCTAAACATATCATGGCATACTCTTGTTAATTTAAGCTGAAAGTCTGCACTTCAGTCACATGTTGAATGCTTGATTTAAAATTTTCTGTGTTGGTTTACAGAGGCAAATGTAGAAAAAAGTGTTGCTGTCTAAAAGCTTATTGAGCAGACTGTAGCTGAAGATGCTGTCTGGATGAATAATTATTGACTGACTGGCTGCAGAGAGACAAACATGCACTGAAACAGTTTTAAAGATGGGCTCTTTACGATTATCTGTTCCTAATGAGAAACGGTGTCCAGGTCACTAGTCTGACACTGAGGTGTGTGGGGTCTTGTGTGATCGATGGTTACGTAGTCTGTGAGCTTCGACTGTGCATCAGGCGACTGTTATGAACTCTCAATTATACCAATGTGTCTCAAAGTAAATGCGATGTAGAGTCATGTAGTAAAACGGATCCAGGGCGGGTTCGGGTCAGAAACAGAAGATCGCCCAACAACAACAATGCTGCCGCGGCGGCAGCATTGTTGTTGTTGGGCGATTTTCTGTTTCTGTTGTTTGTGTGATGTCGTGTGATGTGTGATGTCGAGCCTGCAGGGGAGTCTCGGGTGTTATTTTTAGCGGTGAAAGGTTAAACGAAGAAGCTCGACTGACTGAACTAACCGGATTATCTGCCATTCTTGTCTGGATTTCGTCATAGTAGGATTCAGTGGGAGACGGGCCGTCTGAGACAATTCACCCAGTGACGCCGCAGTAATCTGGAAACCGGCATCCGCACATTTCTCCTCTGATTAAAATCAGCCCAAATCACAAGGAACTCCCATTTGAATACCAAATAATTTCACCTATTCTCTTAAAGTGCCTGAGACCTGACAGAGACTCCTGCTTATCTCTCCCTTTTATTTTCATTTTGCTGCCATGAATACAGAGCGGAGTATCAGCTGTGAATATTTCAGTATTTAATCAAATGTCAGAGTGCATTTAGTCTGAGCCCTGAGAGGAGGGTTTTTCTTTAAATGTAATGCGGTGATAAGCGGAGCTGGATTTTAATGTGCAAAGTGAAACTTTTATTAGCGGCTCCCTGAGAGCTCCTTGGCTTTATTAGATAAAACAGCTGAGGGGGATGGAGGAGAGATTGGCAGACAATGCTACAAGTGAAGTGTTATCACTGAGAGCAGAAAGGCTTTAATGGACTCTGAGCTACTGCTGGACTCACTTTAAATGAACTACATCAAAGTCAAGCACAAAGCAAAGTACATGAAGTAAAACACATGTGCTACAAAAGCTTCAGAGTCCAGGTCAAAGCGCAACACGCCAAATAATCAACAAGAGTACCAGATTTTGTGCCTCAGAGGACCAGAACGTGGAGTCAATCACTTTGTTTTGTTGCAGACCTGTAGCTTTATAATGAGGAGTGGATGGACTGAGTTTGAGTCATCGCTGCAGCCGCTGTGATGCCAGCTATTTTGAAGCCTCGGCCGAAGTGTTTTTGCTGAGCTTTTTGAAAGCAGGTGCCACGAGTCCAGAGTGAACGTGATGCTGCACGGTTTCCTCGTCCGTCCGCTGACCGATCAGGACTTTGATCAACAAACTGAGGAATGACAGCAGGCTGGCTAGTCGTACAACTCAAATATGCAGCTCAGCATAACAGAAACCAGTCCTTGTGTTTGACCTCAACGCCGTCGTGTTCGGTTTCATATGGACTAACTTTGTTTTTAGGAGAGATTAGGTAAATAACATGAACAAATACTTTGCCTTTTATTTTTTCTTTAAAATTTTTCTTATATTTTCCTTTTCTGTGTGGGTGGGTGTGGGTGTGTGGGTGTGTGTGTGGGGGGGGTTACAGCTGCTAATCCCAGTGCTTCAGTCTGGCAGCAGTGAAACACACAGGCTGTGTTGGACAGTAAAACAGGCACCGGATTACAGATTAAAAGCAATTTCTAATCTTCTTTTGCACGGCTCTTCAGATATGGCCCAACTTGGCGATGTCTGAGCTCCAGCTGACCTACAATAAGCTAAGACCTTCAACTTTCCACCATCTCTGCTCGTCACAGAGGTCACCAGAAGACATCAGAAGTCTCGCGTATGAAAGTGCACAGGCTGTAGGTCTTCCTCAAAGCCAGAAGTTTTATTTTACTCCAAATCCTCAAAGAGACACAATCCCTCACCCCCTCGCTCCCCCCAGCCGTTAGCCTCACTCCACCTTTCATCAGTCGGGTTCACCTGAAGGAAAGAGGTTTGAAGTTCACAGCCATTCGAAACAGTGTGAAGTTTTTAGGTTTGGTTTCATGTGTTAAAGTTGCACAAAGTTTGGTTTAGTGTTGCAGTGTTTGGATAGAGCAAAGTAAAGGCACCAGTTCAGGCAAATAAAAATGCAAACAAGTTACTGAACAAAGATTTGGTAATTAATTTTTCTCTCTTTTTAAGCAAGACAGTCTAAAATAATCTGGTTCCAGCTTCCTCAGAGTGATTTTATTTTTTTTCTTTTTGGTTGCTGGATGGGGGAAAAAAGGAGATTATGATCTGTCAGCATGTCCTTTGGGAAAGTTCCATCTAATTATTCACTCATTAAATATTAAACCATTGTGGGAGAACTAAAAGAATTAGATTAGTTTAAGCCTTTTATCTGAGTAACATGATGACATACCTGACAGTGTTTGCCTGCAGCTTCTCCAGTACGACTGTATTTTGTTGGTTTTATATTGTTTTTATAAGATGGACATAAAAGTATTTTTTATATACTGTATTTATACGTGTTTGGGTTTTCTGTTCGAGAGCAGAAACTTGGATGTGATCACAGTTTGTGTTTTTCTAAAGTGAATATTAACCGGTAAAAGTCGGCTAATTAAGAAGAAAAGTTTTTAATTGAAAACTCAAAATTGCAAAATATGTGTACACATAATTTATTCATTAATCGGCTTAGGAAATTTAAAAAGTAGTAAAAAAGATTTTTATTTTAAAGTGGGTTTATTTTTCATATTTGTTGTGAACACAGGGATTTTAATTGTTGCGTTAGTGATAACAGCGTGTTCATGTTTTTCAGGGCTTTGAATGTCACAGTAATTTAATGGAAGAAAATACAACAACATATAAAGAAAACTATTCACGTATGTTTGAATTACAACAATGTGTACATAAACTTCATATGGAGGCTCTGTCCCTCTCTCTGATCTACAAGATTGTTTTCTCGTTATCCAGAGTCAGATTTCTGTAAACGGCTTCTTTACAGGCAGATTAAATAAAAACTTTCACATCAGATGTTTGAGAAGTTTAATATTAAACTGATCCATATTTTAAATGAACTCTATTTATTAATTAAGCAGAATATAAAAGTAAAAGTGCTACAGATAAGATGGCAAGAAGGAATTTAAATGTTTTAAATGAGTTTTATTTTGTTGGCAGAAACATCATAGTTCAAGTAAAAGAGCAGAGTCATTAAAATGTAAATATTTTTTACTGTGTTCAAGTAAAACGACTGATCTTATTTCTTCTTTTCATCCCAAGGCTCTGCGTGCTGTGCAGTTTCAGCTCTCTGATCTAAAATCATTTATTTTCATGTGTCGGAGTCAGATTTACTTTTAAAGGACTTCTGCACTTGTGGAACAAACATCATTTGTCTGGAGCTTCCTGGGACTTAAACCCTGAGATGGCATAAGCTTCTGGACTTATTGTATTTGTAACAAAGGCATGAAAGTACATTGAGCGGAGGATTTAAGTATTCATTTATTCCTCCAAGCCCAACGGTTGTCATAGTTTTGTGCAGCTATCAGGTTTTTGAATTGAAACAATGAAGTCCGGAGACAGAAACGTGCAGGAAACCGCCAAACGAAACTGAAAAACATCAGCAAAGATTCAAAGGTCCAGCAACCTGAGTCTGTGCAGACATGTGATGTGCTCGTGAGGACCGCTCGGAGCGGTGAGGCCTGCAGGATGCCTTGATTGAAAGCAGCCGGGGAACCATGGCACGGCGTGTCCGGCTGGGCCAGGAGGGGGTGCGTCGAGCAAACTAGTCATCGTAGTTGACAGATGCCCCCAGAAAGCCACTAACAGGATGACGCCTGCGCTGCGAGGGCTGCGAGGTAAAGACGGATTATGTCTGAGCAGTAGATAAACAGATTATTCCAGAAACAGTGCCTACTTTTTTAACCTCGTCACTCTTGCCACACTTTGCAGCAGGTCCTGTTCTGGATCGGTTTACGCTTCCACACGCATCCTGGAATTCATCGGGAGCGTTTCAGCAGCCGCTCAGGGTCCCCCAAATGACACGAGGTCGACCCACGCCCATGATCTCCACCTGAGTCAGAGGAGCCCCCTCCTCTCCGCTGACACCTTCCCTTGTGCTGCTGGATTTACTTTGACGTTCATATTTCAGGAGACCGTCCTTCATGATGCTTTGGGCATTTGGACTCGCTCTGCTGCTCGCTGTTGCTCCGCAGGCTGCCGTGATTAAAGGTGAGCCTCGTTGGTTCGCTTTTTATTCTTTGCAAACAGAGAGGTTAGATATGAGGGTTTAAAGAGTAAGGCTATCTAGACTCATACTAAACTTGGTCACAATGTGAAGCAAAGCCTATTACGATTGCGTAAGTACTTGGCTGTGAAGTCATCGTGGAGTTGGACTGTCACTTTCCCCCCGAGGATACCAAAAAGGCAGTTTAAATGCATGGTGACAGCGCAAGAAGTTTGCCTTCCTCCATTTATGTGTGTGCAAACATGTCCTCAATGCAAATGGAAATGCAGAAACAGATAATGGCAGTTCAGTAGATTCATGGCTGGCGTGCTGACAGCTTGACAATTTGAATTACAGCTTTCTCTCCTCACTTATTCAGGAAAGAAAGAAAGCTAAAAATCTGACAAAAGAGGGGCTGATAATCAAAGTTATAAAACAAAGTTCACCTTCACTTCAAAACATTTCTCAGGCTGTTTATTTCTCCCAAAAGCAGCCCGATGAATTACAACCCTCACTTTGACTCATGCTGTCCTAAATTTATCTACAACAAACCTCTTGTTTAGGAGCATCCTTTTGGTACAGCGAGTGCTTCCAGTTTTAGTGTGTGTGGGCGCTTGAAGGAGAGAGTCGACCCTGAGCAATGACTGTAAGGCAAACACTGAACTCGGCTCTGCTCCATGCAGCAGATAAACACAAAACAGAGAAATGCTGAAGGACTCACACACATTAATGTAGGGAAAGATCACGGCATGTGCCCAAAGTGAATGTGAGGGATAGGTGGAGGTTTAGAAACAAGAACATAGAGAGAATCAGAAGAAAAGGTCAAAAACATGGAGCTACATGCAGCACCAGACAGCTTTATAAAATATTCAACACAAAAAGGTTTTATTGGTGCAATTTGGTGGTGGTCTCTTTCTCAGTTCAGTCATTAGAAACCTTTAGAAACATTTCTGCATCACTCACAGGTTTAATATCTTTAATTAATGTTTCTGTTTTTCCTGATGTTCCCTTGTTTATTAATAACACATACTGCATCATTTACAGGTATTACTGCTCCTTCAAACTGAAGCGCAGAATTAATGTCGGCAGTGATACGGAAGGATTTAGTCACATTAATGCTGCATAAAAAAGCACATCATCAAAATTAACCTGGACATTTTCAACACTGCAGCTTCTTTGGATAGAAAACGGTATCTAATGACAGCAAACTCAGAAGTGAAGTATTTAAATACTTTTACATCCCACATTCCCAGTCAGTGCAGACAGTAAAAGCTTTGGTGTTCAGAAGATGTCAGGATTCATAAATTTTAACAATTATGATGTTTACAGTTAGAAAACTAGAAAAAATGTGCATAATTTACAGTTATAAAATCCTCTGATTCAAGCTGACTTTAATGTCCAGAATCCATCAGGTTCTGTAGGATACTGAGGATTTAGTCACATTAATGCTTCATAACATATCTTGGAGACTTTCTTCTGCATTCAGCTGTAACGCTGCAGCTTCTTTACGATTTATTTTCTTTGCAAAAAATGTCACACATGTAAATATGTTATTGTCATCTATGTATGTTGAACTAAAATAAACTTAAAGGTCTGTAAGAAAGAAAAAAAATGGGATAAGTGTTGTGTAGCAGCATGTTAGGAAATCACAGAAAGTCAGTGTCTCTAGAAAGATCATTTAATACCAGCCTTCAAACCGCTGACACTTCGATACTGATAACCTAAAACCTTTCAGGGACTCGCCTGTAAGAACACAAATCTCAGTCACAAATCTTGATGCCTACATTGTTGTGCTCTGTAGTCATGTCCATGACATTTTAATATAAAGATTTGTCGAGTGATTATTGTGTAACTAACCGAGACAGCCAGAGGGGAGAATGTAAAAATTAGCTGTGATGATAAAACAAGTCAAACTAAGAACTTCCAGACCTTAGAGACCACTGAGGGAACGAAGTGTGGATCCAGTCTCCTCAGATCTGGGCAGTGATGTTAGAGTTTGCATCTGTGTCTGCTGCTTACATGCTACTAACATGCTGCTCACATGTTGCTAACACGCTACTAACATGCTGCTAACATGCTGCTAACACGCTGTTTATCTTATGAGCTAAAACACAAAAACTGTAAATCTGCCGGTTATAAAATACTCTCTGACTCTGTTTACCAGCTCATAGCCATGAAGCTGTGCGTTTGCTTTCAGAGCACATCTTTGATGATGTGTCCTGTGGAAGTGACAACCATTTTTTAAATTAATCCTGTGATGTCACAGCTTTTCTTTCACTGCTTTCTCATTTTTCTGCAAACAGCTGCTGTCATGTGAGGAGATGTTTATTATAAATCAATTTATATTTCAGATGTTTTCTCACTATATATATATATATATATATATATATATATATATTAGGGATGCAACGATACCAATTTTTTCAAACCGATACGATACCGATACTTGGATCTGAGTACTTGCCGAACGATACTTCTACCACACACACACACAAATGCAATGAATTGGAAGACAGGTTTTATTATATTCCCTGCCAATAAAAAATAAAATCTTAATAAAAATGACCACAAAAAAATTTCAAGTGAAAAATAAGCACTTCTGTTAAATTATTGCAGAGTCTCCACATTGTAATTTTACAAAATATCACTGAACTATTGGCACTGTCTCGAGCTTTCAGAATAATAAATAAACACTTCTGTTTGGAATAAAATAAATACAAATTAGGTTTGCGAATAAATTAAACTTTTAAATTATTGCAGAGTGTCCATATTGTAAACAAACAAACAAAATAATTATTATAAAATAAATAATAAATAAAATAATAATTGGCCCCCTAGTGGCCAATCTACAAACTACAACAGAAATGACAAGCCACCCTCTGATTAATGAAATAAGTTGGTATCGGTTCATGGTATCGGTTAACTTTTACGAGTATGAGTACACGCACATTTTACAGTATCGGCCCCGATACCCGATACCAGTAACGGTATCGGTGCATCCCTAATACACACATATACATATATATATATATATATATATATATATATATATATATATATATATATATATATATATATATAGTGAGAAAACATCTGAAGTGAACTGTTTCCTGTGTGAAGAGGTATTGCGGTGGAAAATATCCCAGGTTGGGATGTTTTTCGCTGCAGCATGAAAGTCTTCTCCATCATGTTCTTCTTGGGAAACATGGTGGTTGCCAACTGTAAGACATTTGTTCTATAAAAGTGCTATTTCAAGACAACTCTGGTAATAAATGTGATGTAGAATATTGGACATGATATTGGACTCATACAGAAACATTAACCTGGACATCTGTACATTAGGATGAGCCAGGGCTGCCCTCCATCAATGAGTCTCTTCATCACGTTTATGTACAGAAGTTATGAGCAGAACTTGTCAGGTTCGGTGGTCAGTTTGCGGCCGAGTGCAAAGCGACTGGGATAAGAACTGGTACCTCTAAGTGTCCACTCCAGGTTGGGAAGGCGTTTCTGCCTCAAGTGAAGGAGGTAAAGTATCTTGAGGTCTTTGCTTATCTGTGAGGGAATAAGGAGGGAGCAATAGTGATAGAAATGAGCTTCCTGCAAATTTAATTCAGTCTTATTTCTATACCTCCAATATTTTTAAGTGCCTTGAGGCACTTAATATTTTAAGGTAATGATCCTACAAAATACAGAGAAATCTCCAACAATCAAACAACCCCCCTTTTGAATAAGCAAAGGAAAAAATTTTCTTTTAAGCGGAAGAAACCACCGTCACAACCTGGCTCAGGAAGAGCCAGAGATTCATAAGAACTAATGATTAAATGCAGAAGGGTGTATACACATGGTGACTGAAGAAGAAACACCCAGTGCATCATGGGAATCTCCCAGCAGCCTACACCTATTGCAGCATAACTAAGGGAGGATTCAGGTTCACCTGATCCAGCCCTAACTATAAGTTTTATTTTTCATAGACACTGAAGGGTGTCTGGGCCCTCATCTGAGTTGTTTCAGCCATGTCCTACTGGGAGCAGACCCAGAGTTTCCCTTTGGTAAAGTCTCTATGCCCCCCTGTTCTGGACATATCAGACTTGGATAAGTAGTTTTGTTTCTGAAGTGACCAGAACTACTTTTGTTGTCTCCTAAAGAGTTGTTTTGCATATTAAATGTCAGAAACTAGTCGTCCAAAGGCTTAGAATATTCCGTTTCTAATGATTGGAGACAGAAAATATCAAATTTAATGTGGATCTGTCTAATTACTGAAATGCTAATCAAGGCTTTTTGGATTTATGGACGTCTTTTCTACCTCTGACTCTTTGCAGAGTAAATCAGACCGGCGGTGGTGTCACTGTGGTCCTGATGCTGCTCCATTAGTCTGCGTTTGACTCATCACGATGTGTGTTTGTCTCTGAAATATATGGCATCTGTTTATTTACCACAGCAGCGTAGCAGCAGCTGGTGTTTTATCTGCTCTTCACTGCATTCGGCTCCAATTCCTCTCCTGCAGCTCCAAGCTTCTTCTCCTGTTTGTTTTAAGCCTCTTGTAGTACCAGGCGGATGGGGTTTAAATCAGGCAGCGTCGTTTGTGTCGCCAGTGGCAGAAAATGACTTTAAATCCGATTTCGACTGTTTTCAAATGTTGTTTAAATCTGGTGACATGAGCTCCGCTGCTCTTTGTAGTAAACACCACCCATCTGTTGCTCTAAACAAATGCCAGGGATTTGGATCTGACCGCGATCTGCTCTGCAATGACTGTGTTTTGACCCTGAAGTTATTTTTTACCTCCTCTCTTTGTCTGGCTCAGAGGGCGATGGAAGGTTGGATTCGGGGGTAAAGATGGAGGCCGTTGGCCCGGCGGGACTGGCGCAGCTGCTGAAGATGCCCGCCCTCACCAAAAGTTCAGGGTTTGAACCAGAGCTACGCCGATCCAAAAGGTCGGTGTTTTTACACTCCGGAGTGAGAATCTGCCCCCAGGAGACCATCAGTGAGGTGATCGCAAGCCACCAGGCGTACTACCAGCTCAGAGGTACAATTTGTATTCGTTTGGAGACAATAATACCCCCTAATCGCTGTTGTCAGCAGTATTCCTCTGATAAATTACAGGTATACTACAACTGAATTCAAGTTTTATTTATATAGTACCAAATCACAGCAGTCGCCTCAAGGTGGTTTATGTTGTAAGGTAAAGCCCCTGCAATAATAGAGGGAAACCTCAACAATCAGACAACTCCTGATGAGACAGTGGCAAGAAAAATAAAACCCTTTTAACAGGAAGAACCAGTCTCAGGGAGGACTTCTTATCTTACCTTTCCTAAATCATTTGCTGGTTTTCTGCCTATAAATCTGCAAACAACTCCGAATTATCGGCCAAATATTGATATTGTTCAAATTCCTTCTACAAACAGGCCCTATTTGGGCTTTTATTTTGAAGCTCAAGTGTAAAGAATGTGTCAGTGGTCACCAGGTTGTAAAAATCATGCATGAAACCATGAGACAAATATTATGTTTGGTAAATCTGCTTCAAAGTAAAGTTTAGAAAGATGTTTTTTTCCAGTGGAGTATAGGTTTGATGCACACGTGCAAAGTTACACGACATTATGCCTTAATTAGCGGCTCATTATGGGGGTCCTTTCACCAGACCAGCTCTTATTTGCATTTTGTGCAGGGCTGAAGGTAAGAAAATTTCCCACAACAGCAATAAAAACTGTGAAAAATATTTTACTATCTGCTTATTTTCTAAGTGAAAAAAATGTTTTCTGATGCTTTGGTAAGAATTGTGTATGTGGGTGGATGCAGGAGGCAGTAAACAGCTGAAACAGTCGTGAACCTCCACCCTGTTACAGACTGCACCCATACGCTTCTGTTCGTGACACGGCGTGCTTTGCGCGCTATGTCTCCTCTTTATTCTGGCTGTTTATGAGCCTCACTGACTGACATCAGAATGAATTTACATCAGTTTGTTCAGAAATGTTCAGAAATCATTTGATGAAGATGGGAGAGGGAATAAATATCAAAGAACATCTGGAGGGATCGGATGACAGCGCTGAATGCACGCCTTATTAGTACCTCTTCCTTAAGATGAGGTCCTTACATTTAGCAGTACGATAGAGTGTTGGAACCACTGATGGTGCAAAAAAAAAAAGGTGAGGTGTGGGGATGTAGGGGTTGTTAAAAGTTCAACAAATAGGCTGATGTTGGTGCTCCAGCATGGGGATTTCAGTTCAGTATCAGAAAGGGAAGCAATGCTTTTCCTAAAAACGTGCACATTTGGAAAAGTGATCTCCAAATTTATAGCTTTTCTTCAACTTTAACTGGCACTGCTCTCACCACTGTGCTGCCTTTTGTTGTGAGAAAATTAAATTTGTGGCTCCACAATTTTTTTAAATGTGGAGGACAAAGCAATTAAACATGATGCTGTGAATATAATTTTACTGGTTTTAAGTGTTTGCATGCTTTCAAGTCTTAAATTTAATTAGAGTGAACTTCAAAAGGAGCTTTAAAAGCCTTAAATTTAGCAGATTTTACCTGCAGACATCCACACAAAGAAAAGACAAAGTGCAGAAGTGTCGGTTTCTTCACACGGTTTCCAGCAGGCAGTTTCACTGTGGAGTGGGGGGAGTGGAGGAAAGCACAGGTACATGATCCCACACTCGAGCCAGCTGACCCGTCACGGCGCCACTGAGGAGCGATGAAGTGAGTCACAGACGTGAGTCACTCCCCTCCTCCGCACAGAAAAGTGCCGATCTGTGTGGCTTGTTCAGCACAGGAACAGAAGCACGGGGATCGTACCTGTAACGGCCTCCGCACGAATCTTCTGAGCGACAGATGCAGGACAGTGTGAGGAATCCCGTGTCTGCAGGTGGTCCAAAAGGTGACGCCCCCACCCCCACCCCAACACCCCCACTGACGTTTTCTAATCACTTTTTCTTGAGCTTTATACAAAACACCATGAGCTTAAGGAAAGGTATGAAGGAGAGCTGATGAGGCCAGGAAGATCAGACCGCTGGACTAGAAACTCCTCATTATAGATACTTCTTCACATGTGTGGTTTTTGCATGCAGGCTGTATAAATGTGGACACCCAGGTGAAAAAAACGTTGCAGACTGAGTCTCGTATCTTCTCTTGCTGCTAAAGGAAACTCGTGGTTTTAATGGCTTTCTGATGATGATAAAATCTGTCAGTGCAAAATGCCCAGAAAGAGGACAAAACCAAATCAACCTCCACTTCACTCCATTTTCACAAAGCTCATTATCGTTACTCACAGAGGTCAGCTCTGAAGCTGCTAAGAAGAAGCTTTATAACAAGCACATCTTAATACAGCAGCAGTTCAGCTGTGGATTTAAAAGCCTGTTGTTGAAGCTTTAAAGCACGTCAGCAGGTTACAGCATGAGTGCAAAACCTCACCGCCCTTCAGTCTGCTTGTGAACGGTCAGCACAAGTCGTGGGACGCCATCTCCTTTTGATAGTAATGCCACACCACTCTTCATATGGACAAACTGTTCAAGTGTGCCCAATGACCTTCAGCAGCGGGCGCCCATGTGCATGAAAACATGGGGTTATATATATAAAAGTTCTAGTTGGTCGCGACATCCACCTTGAGCATTTCGCTGCCGTCATTTTTAAACTCCTCCCTCCTCCGCCGCTCCCGGATGTGGCGTCAGATCGATGGCGCCCTCCTCCATCTTCGTTTTCCATCCGAGCTCCCCTTGCACTTCACATTGATCCACATCAGCCTTCACCTCCCTCCCCACACCGTTAGCATCTAAACCCCCGCGGGGGGCATAGCTGTGCACCTCACGCCCCGAGTACCCCCTAAAAATAATTAAATGGCGTCTAAAGGCCAAAGAGTCCTCACATAATTCAGCTTTTTCTTCGTTGTGCTCATAGCTGGTCTAATAAATCTCTTTCTTTTTAAGCATCGATCTCATCTGAGTTGCCCCTGACAGAGCAGCTCTGAGATGACGGATGAAAACTGTTTGTGACATCAGTTTTAAATGCAGCTCGCCTCGGGCTGTATGCGTGTTTAGCCGGATACTACCAAAGAAAAACGGGCCAGAGTAGTTCTGGATAAAACATGAATTTCATAAACAAGACGCGTGAATCTCTTCAGAGGTTCAGTGAGAGTTTATTTGTGTGTTCGAGGAGAATACGTTTTTCCCTCAGTTAAAATTCACTCTTTTATGACCATTTATTGTTATTACCGGCACCCAGGAGCTCCCACTTGCAAGAAGCCAAATTAAATGTGTTTTAATGTTTACCCATATATGCGCAGCGTCTGCAGCCTGCAGAGCTGCGTGCTGTGTTCGTGTTCCTTTATCCTGTGCTGTAAATGTCAGAAAGATCCCGCCCCACTCTGATGGCTTAATTCTGTGTTCACACGTTCACGCTTCATCTCCGCTGATTTTCGTGTCATGCACATATCTTTTCATCTTTCTCGTCTTATCTCTGCTCGCGCTCCTGTTTGATCTTTTATCCCCGTCTAACACGGACTTTATTTTCCGATTGATTCAGAGCGGATTAGCTCGAAGTCTCGTGTGTGTTCTGTAAATTTGGACATACCGAAGGCTTCACTGTCTTGTTTAAAAAGGGAAAATCATACAGCTTTGCTCACAGATCCCACCGATGGACCTTCTTTAGTTATTCCCAGTGAAACCAGACAGAAGCTGACGTTTCCACAGATGGTGGTGGTTCATTCAGACAAAGCAAGAAATACTGATCTGATTTCTGCAGTAATAATAAGTATTGCATCTTTGCTGCCTAAATAAAACCACGATCACGTCTGTGGTGCAGCATTCTCATGTGAATATTTTCATGGGCGTCAGTCGATGAAATCATTGATCGTCTTCCTCCACTCACCTCCTAAGCATTCACAGCAGATGGCTTTCTCTGTTTTCTCAGTATTATTGTGGGGCCTTACGATACAAAGCTACTTTAGGCAACTCTTAAAGAATTGAATTGAATTGAATGACCCCAGGTGTGACTGTGGTTTAGGTTGTTTGTAGATTTGTTCCCGCAGTGTTTCCTGTCTCATCTTTTTGTTAAGTTAAGCAACAGGAAAGTAACAGGAAAGTACTCCCGGAGGAGCGAACCAAGATTCCGAAGGAATTACGACGTTGGAGGAGGTGACGCAGGGCTGGAGTGAAGTACCAGGAAAGAAGGAGACGGTACAAACCAAGCATTCCATCCATTCCCATGGGTAATGTAAGATCTTTACCCAACAAGATGGAAGAGCTAATTGCGCTAACCAGACTGCAGTGGGAGTACAAGCAGAGCAGCCTCCTCCTGTTCACTGAGACATGGCTCACCGACCACACACCGGACTCTGTCATAACTCTGGATGGCTTTCAACTGGTTAGAGCGGACCGGAATGCAATGGAGAGTGGTAAGAGGAGAGGTGGGGGACTAGCAATGTATGTCAATGAGAGATGGTGTAACCTGGGGCACATCACTGTGAAGGAACAGAGCTGTACCAAAGACATTGAACTGTGGCAGTTAGCGTCCAGCCATACCACCTGGCCAGGGAATTTTCACACGTTATTGTGCTGACTGTTTACATCCCACCCTCGGCCGACGCTACAGCAGCCTGTGATTATATTCACTCCACTGTCTCTCAGCTACAGATGGCACATCCGCAGTCCCTCATTATTATTTCTGGGGACCTCAATCATGCCTCACTATCTGTCACTCTCCCTGACTGCCATACAAGGGACAGCAAAACCCTGGATCTATTGTTTGCCAACACAAAGCAGGCTTACAGTGCATCACCCCTCACCCCGCTTGGCCACTCAGACCACAACCTGGTCCTTCTCCACCCCACCTACACTCCTATGGTGAAGAGGAACCCCCCCACGAAGAAGGCGATAAGGGTGTGGTCTGAGGAATGCACTGAGGCCTTAAGAGAGTGTTTTGAATGCACAGACTGGCAGGAACTCTGCAAGCCTCACGGTGAGGACATCGACGCCCTCACTCACTGCATCACGGACTACATTAATTTCTGTGTTGAGAACACTGTGCCTACCAAGAAGATACAGTGTTTCTCAAACAATAAACCGTGAGTCACCCCAGAACTGAAGGCCCTGCTGAACAAGAAGAAGAGTGCTTTCTGGTCGGGAGACAAGGAGGAACTTAAGAAAGTCCAAAAGGATCTTAAATACAAGATCCGAGAAGGCAAGGAGTGCTTCAGGAGGAAGATGGAAAACCAACTCCAACAGAAAAACATCAGAGAAGTCTGGAGGAACATGAAAAAAATCTCTGGACACTTCCAGGACAATGGAGGAGCCACAGTGTCTGCTGGCCGGGGGTGGGCTAACGACTTGAATCTGTTTTTTAACAGATTTGACAATGGCCCACTTATCACCTCTCCCACCCCCCAGGTTCCATTAACCCCCCTCCAGCCCCACCCCCCACTCCAGCCCAGCCTCACATCTACTTCACAGCTGATCAGGTGAGAAATCAGCTCAAGAGGACGAAGGCAAGGAAGGCAGCAGGTCCGGATGGAATCTGCT